ACTCTAGTTTTTTAAGAAAACTCCAAAAAGTAAAATTATAAAAATATATAATTAAAATTAATAGAAAAATATATTATTACCTTACTTCCCTGATTATGCTGCATGATCACTTTTTTATGATCAAGCAGGATAAGTTTGATATTTGTGTTTTGATGTTTGTGCTTTTAATAAGGGATTGCAGATTTACTCAATAAACGTAGATAGTAGCCAGTCCTTAAAATAGTAGAGAGGATAAAATACTCGATTTCAGTATTGAATAAAACTTGTAAAAGCAATTATAAAACAAATCCGTCTTAAATTACCTATATGGAATATCAGTTTCATAATGATATTATACAAGATTTATTTAGCGTATGGCAACCCATGACACGAACAATTAAAATCTTAATCCTAATGACAAAACTAACATTAAATCTTAATATCTAAGTTCTCAATCCAACAGCCGATGGGGTGGTCCCCAGGGAATCTGCGACCGTGCAATTGCTTTGCCTGTTACCACATTCGTACATAAAATGAGAAAAATACGTTTAAAAATGCATATCTTGGATATCCCTAAAACACAACTTAAAACATAAAAATATAGAATACCTAATTTTAAACTACTTAAATTTTAATTGACTGTCGTATTTCACCATTAATTACTACTACTTACTGACAGACACCTAATGAGGTACAACAAAAATATTTTAAATTGTTTAGTTACAACAGAATTGTTGTTTATTTGGATTCAACTGACGGTGTATGCTTTTTAAATAATTAAAGAAACACATGTGTTACATTGCTACAACTAGTAGATTCGCATGAGCTCTAGTATATTCAAATGATATTAAACTTTACTTATTTATTTATAAAAATGCTTCTCTTCTTGTAGAATGTAGAATGTTTAGGAAGGGGGTAACCGCGACCTTACAAATCTATTGTGTGTTCCCCTTTCTCGAGTTATAACAGGTTATAACTCATCACACAGTCTCAGGGCTTTGACAAAAGCTGGTATCTGAGACGGCTCCACAGAGGCCAGCTCTACATCTTCGATATCAGCCGTACTAAAATTTATAGCATGATCGGTTGTCCTGTCGGCGCACTCAGTGATAAGGTTTTCTGGTGTTTCCCCATTTTTCCAGAACACCTTATCACTGAGTGCGCCGAGAGGACGACATTCGACAAATCTTCTCTTCTTCATAAACTATCGATTCTTTATTATCATGTCCTCCTCTTCCTTCCTATTACTCTATAAGATTATGGTGGCATTATGATATCGCATTTATTGTGTCTCTCCATGTTGTTCTGTCTTGCGCAGCAGTACTGGCTTCGTGCAGACTATGACCTATTATCGTCTTCATTTGGTCCACCAAACGGTTTTGAGATATCCCTCTAGAACGTTTCCCGTTCACTTTTCCCTCCACAATTAGTTTTTCTATGCCATTGGTGTTCCTCTATATGCGGCCAAAGTAAATATGTCAATTGTTCGAGAATTGAAATGTTTGTACGGTGAGCTGTGTACGGTATTCGCAGCATCCAAACCAAACCAAACCACATTACAAAAGCATCGATTTTACGTCTCATTGCCGACTTTAATGTCTAGGTTTCTGATTTCTGAGGCATAAGTGGCAATGGGGAAAACTAGGGTCTTAGTAGCCTGAGTTTGTTGCTAATTGAAATGGCTGAATCTTTCCATATTTTATTGAGTTTGGTCATGGAATTACTTGCTATACACAGTCTTCTCTTGATTTCTGCATCACAACCTCCTTTGTTTGATATCTAGGAGCCGAGGTATATATTGATCTACAACTTCGAAACCTGCTATTTCTGTTGTATTCGTAGGTTTTCGATCAATAATCATTAATTTTGTTTGTATTTTATTTAATTTTAACCCATATCTCTCGCTGACCACCTCTAATTTGTGTATAATGGATTTAATTAATTATTCAAAAACATAAAAATCGAATACCTAATTTGAAATTATTTAAATTCTAATTGACAGCCATATTTCGCATTAATTACGACTACCTTCTGACACACACCTAACGAGGTACAACAAAAATAAAAAATGTTTTGAATTGTTTACATAATTTGTTGTTTATTTAGATTCAGGTGACGTATATGTTATTTAATCAACTAAAAACACATATATGTCGCATTGCTACAAACTGCATGTACAAAGCAGTTACAAAGTACAAAATATTAAACAACCTCTTAAACAACTATCGATCCTTCCATTACCATTGTTCTATGAATGATGCTTAAACCATATTTTTCCTTATTTAAAAAATATATTTTCAACAGTCTACTAGTTAGTTTATTTCTTTTTTTTATCATTTATCACCCATCAGCAGGGGTGGATGGGCCATATGGGAAAACGGGAAGATTCCCGGTGGGCCGGTGGAAAGATGGGCCGGTGGGCCGGTCCCGATCAGAACTCAAAAAAATATTGATTTAGGAAAAATTAAATGGTTAATCTTCTAACTAAAATTACGTAAGATTCTAGTGACTGCCTAACTAACTAATCAATTTGCATCAATATAATGGTTAGTTGCTTTTAAACATAAACACCAATTTTTAAAATAACTATTGTTAGATGTTTTCCTCTGAGACACTTATCATTTTAATAAACATCTAATAATTTTGTTTGTTGTTCCATTTGTTTTTTTTGTTTGCTTTGTGCAAATATTTTCAGGGCTGGTAGATATGAAACATACTATATTCTCTTTGCCGTGTTTCAAATAAGTCCAAAATAACCGAGTTATTAAAGTTTGAATTTAAAAAAAAAATGATTTTTTTAAAAAAAAATTGGCCGCTTAAATCTTTCTGTATTTGCATCTCTTTTTGTGCCGTAATATCAAAGATTAAGAAACTATACCGTGGGAAAATTTGCAGTGAACAGGAAGTTCTAAAAAATTTTCTAAAATATACAGGAAAATTTAAAAGAAAAAGCACGATTTTCGACATCTTTTTTTACAAAAAAAACTCATAGACGTGTCCTGGCACCTGGTGGTGATATAATATACCACCCCTGAAAATATTTGCGCTTATTTAAGACTCATTCTGTATAGTTTTAGCAATATTCTTTTATTAAAACACATTTATATCCACTGCTTAGGTATTGCCTAGGTTGTTTTCGTTTGAGTCATGGCATTATCATACAAGATGCCAAATGTAGAAACTAGGAAAAGTTACGTGATGAGAATTATACCAAAATTAAGACACCTATCCATGACGAGGCTGCTGCTGTACCAGAAAAGAGAGACTTTCTTTCTACAATCTGTAAGAAAGTATATACCTGAAAATCTAAAAATAATGTATTTCACAGAGGATTGCTGAAGAGCTGCTGAACTGAATGAATCAGGAAGTCTTAAAGTTTCTCAAAACCGTGATTCAAAATCGTAGCATATTCAAGATCAAATGTTATCGATAATGGAAATAAAACAGTAGAACCCTGTGAAACTGAACTATTTTCTAGTAAGAATTCAGATGTCCGACCCGACATTGATCTTTATAAAAATTTGGATCAAGACAATTTCAATATTTTTAAAAAATCGGAGGCAAAAGAGTTTTTTTCGCCCGAGCGAAAATCACCCATACTTGGGGTGATTTGACCCTTACCTAGGGTGTCCCAGAAATAAGTGCAAGTATTTTAAGGGGGGTAGATTTGGTCAAAAGAAGCATTTTTTCTCTTTACCGTTTTTCAAGTAAGCCCAAAATAACCGAGGTATTTTACTTTGAAAATTTAAACAAAAAATTATTTTTTGGTTAAATTTTGAGAACCACTGGATATTTTCTGTATTTTCTTTCATGTAAATTTAATCTACTACCTATTGTCAGTTGTCAGATTATCAAGAAATTATGTTTTCTTAACTTAAAACTAAAAAAATTCCAAAAATGTCTTCAAAAAATTCCAAATTTTCGCAAAAAAAACTGATAGGCGTGTTTCTGAGGCCGAAATATACTACCAGTTAAAATAATTGCAGTTATTTCTGGGACCCCCTGTATATTAATAAATAAAATATGTTTCTTCGTTATGGTCATTTTGTTTTTGTGGATTCTGGCCGGTTGCCTGTTATTCCCGGGCCGGTTTCTACTTCCCCATCCACCCCTGCCCATCAGTGTAAATCCCAGAAATTAACATTAAAGAGTGTAGGTAAATAAAAAAATTATTTCGTGAAAAAAGATATTACACCAATATGTATTTCTCACATTCTTGGTATTTATTGGTAGTATTTTGAATATCATATTTTTTTGTTTGTTGTCCAATGTTCATATAATCTAAGTATGGGTCATAATCAAACCATAATGGATCTAATTGTATGTTGTGTTTTGAAGGATGTTCGTATGTTAATATTGTTTTCCTATCCTAAACACCTCGTATGTAGAATGTAGAAGAATGGGAGGGGGTTAATCACTGCGACCTACAGATCTATTGTGTCCCCCTTTCTTGAGTTATAACTCATCAAAGAGTCCCAGGGTTTTGACAAAAGCCAGTATCGGGGCCGGTTTTATAGAGGGTAATTCTCCAATATCAGTGGTACCAAAGTTTATGGCATTAATGGTTGTCGTATTCAGTGTCATTTCAGGCGTATTCAGTGATAAGGTGTTCTGGTGTTTTCCCATTTTCCCCAGCATCTGCATTCGCCGTTTTTTTTATTTTTTATTTTGGTATACCTCGTATGTATGGAATTGCAAATATGGGTTGTGTATCTTGCGTTTTTTGTTTTGTATTTCGTTTAATATTTTGTCTTTGTCATTAAAAGGTTGTGGAAAATCGGTTTTTTCATGTTTTTATGCGATTTATATCTTTGTTTAGTGAATTATTATTTGAAAACATTGTTTTTGTTTTATTTTATAAACTTCTAATAACACATACTTTTACACTTATGGTTTGGTTTTAGATGGAATTGAGATTTAGTTGTTTGATGAATAATTTATACATATCTCTGTAATTGTTTTTTTTTTAACAAATTCTTGTATTCTCTAAAAGATTAATTCAAATATACAAACATACTTACAGAAAAATGGTTTTAATAGATGATGTATTGCGCGCGGTTGAAGACAAATACAAATTTCTTATTCGCAAAATCTGTTAACTTTCACCGACGATTATTCACCAAATAACAACACATCCCGCCCGAACTAAATGCCCACGTAGAACACACTAAACATCTTGCAGCCCTTGGCGAAAACACAAACAAGTGACTATTGGTGTTTAAAAAGAAAAAACCGAAAAAAAAATCGCGAGGTTCGATAACCGAGGAATCGTGATCGCGACTCCAGCCCGGTCGTTCGTTGTTTCTTGCCCGATTATTACTATGGTACTCTCGCCGCTCGCTCGGACTCGGACCAGGTACTAAACTAGAGATTGATACAGGTATGGGCGGCCGTACCAGGACCGGATTTAAATATTGCCTAGACGGTTTAAATCTCCTTTCATTTAGTACCGCAGGAGAACTGTTTACGTGTTTATTAAATGCCAACGTCCAATACGACGACAATTTTAATTTGTGACGACGCGACCAATTAACTCTATCTAACAACTCTTTATTTTGAAATGCTTTATCAATAACTTAGAGAAATATTAAAAGATAATATAGTTATCTCTCCAAACAATCCTATATAGGTATTTCGCCACTGCAAGAAAATCTACAAAATAAAATAGTTATTTTTTGTAAACACTTCTGCGTTAACTCAAACGGAAACTACTTGTCAGAAGTTAGGTTTACAGATATACATATTTGCATAACGAACAAAAAAATGCTTAACGTTTCGGAAAGTTTATCTCTTTCCGTTGTCGGAAGCAAAAAAAATACAAAGAATAAAGATAAAAACTATTTAAAATATTTAAATTCAACTATTCGAGAACACTTTAAAACAGATACGTCTACAAAAACCGTTGACGTTCTGTTAAAATGACATTATATCAAGTTAAACTTCAAAATTAACAATTAATACCTGATAACAATTACTTAATAAGGTAAAATCAAAAGGCCTCAAACTTTCTGTATGTTTATTTTTAAATTTTACGTATGTTATGTTTATTTATGTTATGTTCTTTAAAATCAAAGAAGCGATTGCCATACATTAGTAACATCTAGAGATGCATGAGCAATACATTTATTTTTATTAGAATGTATTAAAAAAGCCTCTTTTATTTTTCTTTTAGAGGCTATCGCTTCTTTCATTATAATTTTGGCGTTATTAAAATTTATTCTGTGCCGTGTGTCCCATGAATGCTGACAAATCTTAGATTTGTGAAAATCTCCCTTTCTTAAATAATCTTTATGTTCTTTAATTAGAACATTTAAGGGTCTAGATGTTTCACCAATGTAAAATTTATCGCATTCACATGGTATTTGGTATATTATATTTTTTGTTTGTTGTTCTGTATTCATTGGTTTAGTATGTGATAAAATGGAACTCAGTGTATTTTGTGTTTTGAAAGATGTTCCTATGTTATACTGTTTTCCTATCCTTCTTATTTTTTCCGAAACGCCTCGTATGTATGGAATTGTAAGTTGTATAATATATTGTGTATTGTTATCATTGTGTCTATGATTTGGGGTTTGTATTTCGTTTAATGTTTTGTCAATAAAATATGGTGGATAGTCTTTTTTATTAATGTATTTTTATGTGGTTTATATCTCTGTTATATTATTTTTGCCCCATCATATAAACTTTTTACACCCTTTTTTACAGTTATACTGTGATTAGATGTGAAATTTAAGTATCTATCTGTATTTGTGGGTTTTCTGTAAACATCTAAAATTATTTTATTTTGAAACTTTGACACTAAAACATCAAGAAATGGCACACAAACGATTACCTCTCTCTACTTCTAAAGTAAATTTTATGATAGGTTCGCGAGAATTTATATAATCCAAAAAAAATTCTATTTCAGAAACGTTATGTTGCCATATTGCAAAAATATCATCAACATAATGCAGCCATATTATTATATTAGATTTTTTTGAAAAACTATTTATTGTATTATTTTCAAAATCTTCCATAAAAATATTACCTAACAATGGAAATAATAAAGTTATCAAAAAAATATAAAATAGCTTCAATCTACTGAGGTGTTAATTGCGGAGACAGTGTCCTGTTAAAAACACCGTCACAATCCGAAGAATTGTTCTTACTTAAATCAAGGAAATCTTGATTTTTCTCTGTCATAAGATAAGTCCCGAGAAATTTCTTCTAGTGTCTTAGGCCGTTGGAGGATTCCCATCCCAGCTTAGGGATGGAGGCTTCCGGTTTCTTGAGTTCTGCTTTAAGTTAGTTTTTATTTGGGAAGCAGAATGGTTCTGGTCCAGTTAGTGGAGCTTTCGCTCTTTTTCTAGCTACATTGTTTGCCCTATGTGAGCTAGGGGGCTGAAACTTGGAATGTAGATATTTTGATGGGCTCGCTAATATTGTGACGACGTTTCGTACTCTACGAAACCCCATCATCAATAAATCAAATAAAAAATCGTCCGATTTAACTGAAATTTGGTATGTCAATAGATTGGACCAATGCCAACTTGACCTTGTACGACCCGTGTCACTGGGACAGTTTTGACGTAAGAAACATCAAAAATTGATGTCGACCGGTAGCGACCAAATACAACCTTACCAAAACCCTAAATCCTAAGATGCAGATGGCGGGACCAGGTTAATAGGATGCGTGGCTACATAGAAGGCTAGCCTCTACTTGTCTCAGCCTTGGGGCACCAAAGTGCACCTCGTTGTATTTACTTTTTACTTCTACATGTGGGGCTTTACAGAAGTGTGTTTACGTAATGTCAGTTTATCAGAACGTGTCAACGGTTTTAATACGCGCTAATAAAATAAAGTGTTCTTAAGCAGTTACATTTAAATATTTTGGATAATTTCTCTTTATTCTTTTTATTTTTTTTTGGTTCTCTTAAGACTGGGGGAGTTATACTAGGCCTGTTATAAACACCCGAACACCCAGGGAAACACCGTTTTAACACCGGTGTTGGGCTGACACCGGTGGCCAAATATAGGCTATCCGATGTTCCGATGTTCCGAAACCGGTGTTGATACCGACACCGGTGTTCATCTTGACACCGGTGTTGGTCTGGACACCGCGGTGTTCATCTCGATACCGGTTTTGACTAAGACACCAGTTTTGATATCGACACCGGTGTTTGGTAAACGGGTTAAAGAAGAAATAATGTTAAAAATTTTATTTGTAAAATAATGTTTTTTTTAATTAATAAATTCAAAATAAACCTGATAATAATAATGTCGCATCGGTAATCTTGGCATTTTCATAATAATCGGTGCTTATTTTTATCGTTTATTAAAGCGCACCAACTTTAACTTAAAGCTTGCAAATTTAAATATAATTTTTTTGCCAGACTAATTACTAAAAAAAGTGGAAGCGTCAGATAAACAACAAACTATAAAGTAAAAAATTGTTTAATCAAAAACAAATAGAAAACAAAACAAAACATAAAGAAACAAAAATGCGTAGCTGTAAAATAAACTAAAAAATATTACATTAAAAAAACTAAAAAAAAACAAACGGCGCCATCGACATCGACACCGGTGTTCATCGCGATACCGGTGTTGAAATAAACATCGGTGTTGAGATAAACACCGGTGTCAAGACAAACACCGGTGTCGAGATAAACACCGGTGCTGAAATGAACACCGGTGTTGAGATAAACATCGGTATCGGTGTCGACACCGGTACACCAACTGAAACACCGGTGATCATCAACACCTAACAGGTCTAAGTTATACCATTACTACTACTACTATACCATATATAACATATATTGTAGTACGATATACCCGCTGATGAAGCATTTCTTGGACTCTTACTATGTAGTGGTTTCACCTAACCCAAATAACCTTTTTTTATTTTTTATATCTCTGTTTCAATGATGAAAGCGAAGCTTTTTTCATTAATCGAACACACGAAGACGGTATACAGGGTCACCACATACGACACGGAGTATTGTAGCTAAACGACTAGATTTTTACAAATTATAAGTTTTGGGTTCGTTGAAGGACTATTAGAGCTACATTTTAAAAATATTTTTACAAGAAACAGAGTGTCCCAAATAAATAAAAAAATATCAAAGTACCTGTATATTATTACATTTTTAGTTTCTACGATTAAAATAAAGGTAAATTTGATTAAGGTTTATAAAATTATTATAATATATAAATGTCAATATTCGTATATGGGTATATTGATAAATAAGGTCTAAATTATAAGAAAATGCATTTTCTACGAAAACTTGAAGAGATAGGCAGAAATGGTACAATACAATTTGATAGACAATTAAATTGTGTATCTGATTGTCGTAAAATATACAGGGTGTTCTATTTAAATTAAACAAGTTCTAGCCGTTTAAAGCTAGTAATTATTTAAAATAAATTTTTAGACACTCTGTATAATGTATAAGGTAGTATTGTTTTTATTATTACAATACAATATTTGATCAATAAATAAACTTCAGTAATTATTTAGCATTAAAAACTTTCATAGCCTTTTTACTCTAGTTTTGCAAAATTGAATATATTTCAAAAATGACAAGGTTTAAGTGTGATAAACCTTAATCAAATTTACCTCTATTTCAATCGTAGAATCCAAAAATAAAATAATATACAAGGTGTTCCATTGAAAAAATACAACTATAACATTTTTTATTTATTTGAGACACTCTGTATGTTGTAAAAATATTTTTAATATGAACCCAAAACTAATTTGTAAAAATCTAATCGTTTAGCTACAATTAGCTGCAATACTCCGTGTTGTATGTGGTGAACAATCCTCTATAGTAATGGTTATATTTGTTATGTTATTTATGACAGGTAACCTCTATGTTTACTTATTTCTCTGATCTATGATATACTGTATTATAAAGTGTGGCAGTACCATAGGACAACTTATGCTACGGTAGTTCTGTCTCGGTCCGACGAACGAAGAAAGTGGAACTTGGGCCTGTTTTCGGATGAATGGCTAGTTAAATGGTACGTTAGGGTGACTCACTTTTGTCCGGCTGCTGTCTGGTTAATAACAGTGATTTAGACTGGACTTGACCACAACATTTTTTCCACTCGATTTCGCTTGAAATTCCTAACAATGAGTAAAGGTTCGGAGTGTCTCTGAGATTAATAGAGAATAGTGAAAAAGAAGATTTGTTCAATCTCAATTACATTATTAAATTAAATCTATTCAGTAAGTTATAATTGAACCATTACCAAACTATTGTTAATTTTATAATCAAACAATCAAACAAATAGTTTTTTCCGTCGATTTTTATATTCGTATATTTTTGATGTAGAATGTTTAGGAGGCGGGTGAATCACCGCAAGCTTACAT